AGAAAATGGCCGCAGACTACATGAAAACTGCTGTAGAAGCATGAAAAAATTTCATGGATTATTTCCACTATCGATGGGAGTTTGGAAATGCAAAGTCGGTCTTGGCTTTGCCGCGAACTTGGAGCATGTGCATGTAAATTTTGGTGCAAATCCGTCGAAACTTGCGGCCGTGCATTCCTCACACACACACACACACACACACACACACACAAACACACACACACATCCTGCCTTTTATAAACATAATTATTGTCATCTTTGAAATGAGGTAAAACTACAACTTCCTAACTTTCCCATTGTCTGTTTTACTTGCTAAGTAAGTTATTCTATTTTTCCCTCTGCTTCTCTTGCCTTTAATATTTCATGTGAGTGTCAAATTATCTAAGCACTCTTTTCTCACTATGTACACTGTAAATTTCAAATGACTCTTTCTGATTCTAAGTGCAAGTATCATTTTTGTTTCAATTTTCATTTAAACTCACAGATGAAGAAGAGACTTGAAGCAACTGATATGTGGTTCTAAAGCAGGGTTCTTTGAATACCATGGACTGAACAAAGGAGCAACTAGGACGTTTTAGGGGAAAATGGAAACAAAGATGAGGCCTACACTAATCATCAGAAAAAGACAGATGAAATTTTTTCGACACCTAATGAAGAAATAGGGCCTGGAGAATCTGACACTCACAGGACAGATGGAATGCAAGAGGGACCGACGAGCAGCATCAAGTAGCCTACCTAACAAATTCGTGCCAATAAATAACAGAACAAAGGGATAACGAAAAGTCAAAACGTACTATGAGCTATAAAGGATAGGAAGTAGTAGAGAGCCATGATCGTCCACATCCTAAAGGAGTAGTCTGCAATATAAATAATTAACAATTCGAGCAAACTTAGAATAGTTTCAATTGAAGCATCTTCTCCAATATTTTTTACTTTTCCACATATATATATATATATATATATATATATATATAAAGACATTTATGTATGTTTATACGTTTTTTTTATAGATACACATATTTAAGTAAATGCTCCGTTTTATAATAAACAGTATTAACAACATTTACCGGCCTGAATATACGAGAAATTTTCATAGAAAATATGGGTCCTCCGACAGGAATCGAACCTGTATCCTATACGGAACCGTCATATAGCCTGACGTGCTTTTACCGATTGAGCCACAGAGAAGCGTTTCGGTTAGCAAGGTCGATTTTACTGTTTTTAAACCACAATTCTCCATGATTTTCTCTCATACATTCATATCTGCTCGATGCGTATCCAAATGTAAACAAATGACGTCACACATTATGAAATGGACAAAGTCCGACAATTATTTTGAGACATTTTTTATATTTATACTTTCTTTTTATAGATACAAATATTTAAAACCAGTAAAATCATCCTTGCTAACCGAAACGCTCCCCTGTGGCTCACTCGGTAAAAGCACATCAGGCTATATGACGGTTCCGTATAGGATACAGGTTCGATTCCTGTTGGAGGACGCATATTTTCTATGAAAATTTCTCGTACAATCAGGCCGGCAAATGTTGTTAATACTGTTTATTATAAAACAGAGCATTTACTTAAATATTTGTATCTATAAAAAGAACGTATAATCATAAAAATGTCTTAAAATAATTGTTGGACTTTGACCATTTCATAATATATATATATATATATATATATATATATATATATATATATATATATATATATATTAGCACATCTCTCTACAGATGTTGATGCTCTATTAGCAAACAGTTTAGAAGACATTGTAACTATCCTTGATAAATTCTCTGAAACGCCGAAAGCATTTGAACTCGCTGTCAACATAAAGAAGACTGAGGTAATCTACCAGCCAGTACCAGACAATCCATCTCTTACAAATCCTTCTGTATTCATTGATGGTACGGCATTAAAAGCAGTTGAGGTGTTCACATATCTTGGATCAACAGTCTCTTCTGATGGAAAAACAGATAGAGAATAGTCAAAGCCAGCACAGCATTCGGTAAACTTAACTATAAGTTATGGAACACCAAAGATGTGTCTCTCGGACTAAAGATTGACATACAGATCAGTCGTTCTCTCAACACTTCCCTATGGTGCTGAACCCTGGGCCATGTACCGCAAGAAAATAAATCAACCTAACGCCTTTCACATGCGCTGTTTTCGTGCCATATGTGGTATAAAATGGTATGAAAGGATCAAGAACAGTGCATAATGAAGAGATGTAACGAAATCACAGGCATTGAAACCATTCTAGCAAAGATACAACTTAGGTGGGCTGGTCATGTTGCGAGAATGGATAAGCATAGGCTTCCAAAAAAGATGCTGTATGGACAACTACCAAACTCCAAGCCTTTAGTTGGACGTCCTCTCTCTCTACAAAGACAAACTTTGAAATATTTCAACTTTGATCTGAAAACCGGGAAGGCCAAGCATCAAACCGAAATGAGACATGTTTCATTAAGCTAAAGGGTTTTGAAGACAGTAGACTGAAGCACCGTGATCAGCTTTGTCAAGCTCTGAATCAGAGACGACATCAAAATCCTGCTTTAACAAATTTCATCTGTCAGTGTGGCTTTGTTGCCCACAGCAAGGCTAGGCTAGTATCACACTTAAGAAAGCACAAGCGAAATATGTCTTTCCCCTATCTGATTTTCTCCGCAATAAACCATGCATTTATCGTTCACGATAGGCGAGTCCAGCACACACACATTGTTGTCAAAATTACGCAAAAATGAAAATAACCCTGACATCTCATTTTAACAGATATATTTACAAAAATTGCACAAAATATCTTGAAATATTAAAGAGTAAATTCATTTAATAATCGCCATTGGTTTCAACCACGGCCTTCAAACGACTTCAGAATCTCCTGTATTTCTTCTGGATGATCTTGTTTAAGTTGGTCAATGCGGTGTTGTAACGAGTTTTGTTGATCTCTCGCTTAACTACGTCCCACACATAATAATCAACTGGAGTGATGTCTGGGGAATAACGTAGCTAGATGTAAGGAGTGATATGATAGCAGAAATTGTCTCACAGACATGACTGGGTCTTTCTACTTGTGTGGCATGGTGCAGAAATCTGTTGCAAGACATAGACTTTCAGCAGCCACACCATTGACCCAGGGCAGCGCAACCTGTTCAAGACACTTGATATAGGCTTCTGTGTTGAGTGTGATGCCCGCACCAACAGATTTGTGAGTTCTTTTCATAGAACGATCAGAGTGTGTTTTTTTTTCTTGCTGCTATTCCTTCGTAATCACCATTAGACTCATCCAACTTATTCCGAATCTTCTGCACTGTCTCCAGATTGATACCTAAACACTCTGAAATATTCGTATTGGAGCTTCCGGTGCGAAGGCCAAACATTACAGCTATTATACTGTTTAGTCAACAAAATAAAAAATAAAAAAAACAACGCGCATATAAGAAAAAAAATAAAATGGCGGTAATTTATCCATCGCACCCTGTATATATTAAATGTTGACTCAATACAATAACCAACAGTCACTCAAGGTAGGGGATTATTGAATGAGATTGCTGTATGAATGTAAGAGGAGGAAGCGGATTATCAGGATACTTGAGATAGATAATGGTTGACGCTAGATTTAAGGATGTGAAGATTAGTGTAGCATTCTATCGTACTGCCTAAATTTTTTTGTGGAGATCCATGATCGCCCACGTCTGTCAAACAAGAGAGAGAGAGTAAATATCCTTTATCATTTCTTATTCTGACGGTTTACATAGAGAGAAACTAAATATTAAGACTTTTTAACCGGTCAATATTAAGACTTTTTAACCGGTTAATATTAAGACTTTTTAACCGGTTAATATTAAGACTTTTTAACCGGTCAATATTAAGACTTTTTAACCGGTCAATATTAAGACTTTTTAACCGGTTAATATTAAGACTTTTTAACCGGTTAATATTAAGACTTTTTAACCGGTCAATATTAAGACTTTTTAACCGGTTTTTAACAAGTCAGTAAAGCCATTAAGACCCAAAGGGCTACTGGCTGTGGAAGAATTAGGAACAGAAACATTAATAACGAGCGGGAAGATAAAATAGTAACCAGAAGAACAATAGATAGCCATTGACATGGTATTTAAATTTTTACAGATTAAAGTTGTCTGCAAGGCATGGAACCAGAAGAGATTTCCACAAGCGAGAAGTGCGACAACCGAAACCGTTGCCATATAATTTACCGCTATATTTAGCTAGCTCAACTGTAAATGGACGACATCACGACATCTGTCTAGTACTGCGCTTAAAATTATAAAGCCTAGTTACCATAGCTAAGGGCTTAACCGAACAATTATCCTGAAAGTATTTATAGAAAAGACACAGGGAGGTAATCTTACGACGGAGGGATGCAAGAAAATTTTAATCATCAATAATATTTAAGTCTGCGTAAAGTATTAGAGAAAATGGAAGCAAAAAGAAAACTCGTTCATAACATATGGAAAAGAGAGTTGACATTTCTGGGGATAAAAATAATGAAAGAGGGCTTGGAAAATCTGATACTCACAGGACAGATTAGAGGTAAGAGGAACAGAATAAAACAACGTATTAATTACTTAGTGAGCTTGAGTAAATGAATGACGGAACAAGATTTAGGAGAAATAACAAAAAGATGAATTTTATTAAGATTTTATTAAGGACAGAAAAGTGTGGAGAGCCATAATCGCCTGCGTCCTGGAGAGACCCGGTACATAAAGAAAAAGAAGTATTATCAATATATAGTGATATTATGGCTCTCATTATCGTCACCGCACAGGGAAAAAGAACTATGGCGTTCGGTATTTTCACTGAGAATATAAAATAATTTATGTTCACTTATCAATTATCGCTATAAGAAATTAAAAGCTATTTAATAAAACTCACTTATTTCATATTAAAATTAGAATGTCTTTTATAAAAGGCCGTGTGTATTATCACCGCACAGTGAACTTATACGTAAGTGTTTTCCTCCATGTTGCCTTGTCTGGTAGGAGAAGAATACTTCTAGAACTCATTCCATAGCGATGGCAGATGGACTGGAGGTGACTGTTTACAAAAGAATCCACTATTTTACTGGCTGTTTGTATGATAAACAAAGCTCCCGAAGTTCTTCCCTTTATACTTCCCCCTCATTATTTCCTTACTGTCTCTCTCTAATTCCTGATATCTCTCTTAATCATCCTTCAGAACTTTTAAACTATGTCTGTACGTTCATAATTACGTCGCCAGTAATATGACTGCATGGTGATAATAGTCACTCTCTAAATATTAATGGTTGACGTTGTATAATCTAAAAAATGAAATAAAGAAAATATGAAGGTGATATTTTAAGCATTTCAACCCAAGCAAGGCGGGAGTGCCACGAGTACACAAGGGCCTACAGAGAGCGTACGTAAGAGAAAAGACTGTGTATAGGTGGGGGTATGAGGAAAGGATAAAAAAAGAAGATTTCGACTGACATTACATTTAAATTTTTGAAGATTATTGTTATCGGGGAAGCAAGTAAGAGGAAAGGAGTTCCACTGTCGGGAAGTGAGGGAGAAGAAGCTGCTGGAGTAGAAGAGGCAGTTATATTTAACTTGTTTTGACAGTATAGGCGTACGACAGAGATGTCAACCTTGTAGCACACTTAAATTCATGCAGTTGTGGCACCTGTGAAAATAGCTCGTCAGAACAGTTTTGCGATGAAAATATTTGTAGAAAAGACAGAGGGAAGCCACGTTACGTCGGCAAGAAAGTGACTGGAGTCAAGAACCTAAATCAAGACCGATGATATTGCAGATCCGTCTTTGGATTTTGTTGAGAACCTCGAGATGAACAGCGGGTCCATATTTGGCAACAGTATTCTATACATGGACGAATGGTAGATTTATAGATGTGAGGTATGGACTCAGACGAGAAAAAACATTCTGGCGTGACACAGAGAATCCACTTTCTTTGCTGTAGATGTAGTATTGATTCAAAGTAGTTGTTCCCCTCTCAGACCAATAAGACTAAGAAAGCGCAGTGAGGCCCTCTCGTGGAGCTGAGCGTCAACCATTGTAGGAGGCATGGAGGTTTCTCAAAATAATACCTTTTCGACTGGAATTTCGGGACATATTTAAAATAAACGCGTAACATTTCAATGTATTTTTAAGTAGCAAAGAAAATTTGGCAGATTTAATTTGAGTATGTCACGGGAGGATCCACCCCACCAAAAAAAAAAAAACCAAAAAAACAAAAAAAAACAACCCCCCCCAAAATAACAAAACAAAACAAGTCATCTTATTCTGCCTATTTTAAACTCAAATATTTTGTCAAAAATATTTTATAGAAATATTAACAAATACATTACTACAATAATATTCATGTGGATTTTAAACACTGTGGGGTATTGATAGCGGTTCAGATTGGGAAATCGGAGAGCAGAGTTCGGTTTCTGGTCGGGTTCGTCACATTCACTTGCGGGGAAATACCCTTGCAAAATGTATAGACCCATATGTTATTCTCCTAGCTATGGCTAAATAGCAAGACAGACTGGCTCTTATAACCTTGGATAGCAACCTCTCTAGGAGAAGGACAACTCCGAATTCAAAACCTCCAACTATGGGTTAAATAGCCTCACCAACCCACAATTGATCAAGCATGGTGAGTACGGCTAAACTAGACAGGATTCAGAAGGCACTGGATCTAGAATTTGAAAAAAGAAATCTTTTATTTCGAGCTGAATGAATGGCCACAGAAGAATTTTTAATACATGGAACCTCAAAATTAAAAAACCCGCAGATTTTTCAAAGTGAATATATCACACTCCTATTTTTTAAATGTATTATTCAAGTCATTCCTTCCTTTTCGCTCTTGTGTCTAGCTAATAAATTACTGGGTCTACACTACATTCTAAATAAAGGCGGCAAGAAAAACGTGTTAAAAGTTAAAACGAAAGCACCACCATACTCAATTATGTCTATCGTAAGAATATTAAATTTTAACCATTGTGGACTTCTCGACCTGAATAGGCTAATTCAAAATTCAGTTTTATCCAGATTTTACTCCAAATGAGAGTGGGCGTTGAAAAGATCTCCAACCCTGTTTCATTAATCAACATCTGACAAATGATCAAATATTAAATTACTTTTTTTCCAATCATTTATTGTTCAGGACGAAATAATTTTCAGTGTCAGTTCGGATATATAGATTTACTAAGTATAACTTAAAGGTGGCATAATGCCGAAATTATAGAGCATCAAAGTGCAGATCAATTCAGTGAGGAGTTTACTACACACACACACACACACACACACACACACACACACACACACACACACACACATATATATATATATATATATATATATATATATATATATATATATATATGGGTGTGTGTGTATATACACTGCTCTCATTTAACCACCATAGAGAAACGTCCCTGCACCCTGCCATCGACATGGTTGATGCTCGTCTCCGTACCTCTTCAACTAACTTGAAGTGGAACCAACTACATTGAATCGATAGCTGCAAGGAAAGTTGGTTCACTGTGTTGTGCCAGAAGATATTTCTCGTCAGAGTCCATCTTACACATCTACAAATCTAATATTCGTTCTTGCATTGAATACTGTAGCCATATCAGGTCTGGTCTTCCTGATGTTCATCTCGAAAATCCAAAGAAGAATCTGCAATGTGAACGATACTGATTTGGTTTCTCGACTTCAGTCATTTTCTCACAAAACGTGATGTGGCTTCCCTTTTCTACAAATATTTTCATGGCTGCTGCTCGGAAGAACTTTTTTCCTCGACTACATGAATTTAAGCGTGCTACTAGATTGAGATCAACGTCGCAAATTTTTACTGTTGAACTATTTAAATGTAACCGCCACTTCTACTCCAACAGTTTTTTCCTCGCACTTCCCGGCATAGGAAGTCCCTTCCAATGTCTTGTTTCCCTCATAACTACAATCCCTAAAAATTTAAATGCAGCGTCAATCGTCATTTCTTATTGCCCGTGCTTTTTCCTTTTTTCAATCCCCTTACACACACTCTTTTCATTCACTTTTACTCTCCGTAAACCCCTGCGTGCTTTTGACACTCCTATCTGGCTGCGGATGAAAAGTTTATATATATATATATATATATTAAAAAGAAGAGGGGTGCCGCAAACGTTTTTGGTTGTAATGTGGATTTATTGAGAAAAATATTATACTTTGTTTTACATAATTTCACGACACGTGTTTCTGGTCTGGTCTCGCAACCGTCTTCAGGTGAAAGTGGAGATTTTTACATATTATTAAAAAATAATTATTTTTTTCTTCATGTTCAATGTGGAATATTCTCGATATGAGACATTCTGTTTTGTGTGTTGGCAATCCGAATTTTCTTTCTAGAATTGTCAATGAAGAGTTCTGCGTGAAGGGTCATAAAACAATTAAGGTTTGTCCAGCGAGTAGTTATCGGCATTTAATCTTTTAATGTTTTAGTGACCTCTATGTGCTCTTGGATCTGTTTCTATTTAATATATAATTAATATACATACTTTTCTCTCGTTGGAACCACTACAACATATTTCTTTATATATATATATATATATATATATATATATATATATATATATATATATATATATATTAAATCAATTAATTTATAATATTAATGCTCTGTAAATTTACATTGAGCACTATTTTGTAAAATAAAAATATCTATAAGAACACTGGATTATATATCTTACTGTTCTTTCTTTCTTTATATATATATATATATATATATATATATATATATATATATATATATATATATATAAATATATATAATAAAAAGGCTTAAACACTAATATTCCATGGTCATAATTTAATCCATTGGAATCGTAAATTTTGAATTTGTAGGTCTGATGAATTGGATCGTATTTACGATTCCAATGGATTAAATTATGACCATGGAATATTAGTGTTTAAGCCTTTTTATTATATCCTTAGTCTGTCCTGGACATTGAGTTCTACCTGGATTCTTCCTCTTGGAATTTTTATTTTAAAATATACATGTATGGGTATTTATATATTTTGCATATGTATGTATATTTACCACTAATATTATCTCTCTCTCTATATATATATATATATATATATATATATATTATTGTAACCTAGAAAGGGTTGCTGAATGAGGAATAAACAAGACGGAAGTTGGAAATAAATAGTAATCTTTATAACATCAACAAAATACAATACTCGTCAGCAGCGTGAACTAGGTAAACCACTGTTAATGATGGACAACTTAGACAGCATATTACGATATTTACCTGCCTCCCTACGAGGTAGGATGCGGCTCAAGACCAAATTAAATGTGGGGAATTTCGAACCCGTGGGCTCGAGCAAATTTTTTTGCCCGTAGACCCTGCATACACGGGATCGTGTATCTGTCTGTCGGATGAGACTCTGTCCTTCGGCCTAGCCTAGTCCGGGTTCTTTTCTGCACAAAAAGCGGAGAGTTCAAGACGGCAAGAGCTTTCCACACTGACAGCTTATTACCCCCTAACAATAGTGTTCAACGTATTTATAAATACTGGGACATGCCCATTAGTGTTCATAGGTAAGGTATATAGCCAGGAAGTTCGCGTTCATGGCTATCTGTAATTTCCTGTCTCTTGTAGCTCTTAATAAATATTGTCTTTTTGCTATCTTTCCCATATTATCCTTCAAAATTCATTCACTCATGTTCACCAGGTAGGTTATACTTACCTCTAGCCCCCCCCTCCTGCATTCACCCTCTCCTGTGAGTATAAAAATTACAAAGATGAATATATAGAGATATTCACGAAATAAATTATAACCGAGATGAATTTTTCAAGGTTTTCTTCTTGATTATTATAATGCTCTGTAATTTACATTGAGGTCTCTCTCGATTAATATCATCCTTGAAATTATCCCTACTAGTCACAAAATTTATATATATATATATATATATATATATATATATATATATATATATATATATATATATATATATATAATATAATAAAATATATATTTAAACATATTAAATATAACCGACAATGAATGTCTATTATGCCTGATCAGATATTCATCGTTTGTTATATTTAATTATATATGTTTAAATAATGATCTGCTGCCCCAATACACTAAATATATATTGCCATCTACAGGCAGCTCATCAATGTAGCTAGACATCCGATTGCCTTAAGCCAGGCTCGGAACCCGACTGATTTGGCATCAGTCGAAGATTTTTCCCCATAAGCTATCAGCTCGTG